AATAAAAGATTAACTGCGAAGTTCTGATGGGATCCAGTGCATTAGTGTTGAGTACTTGATGTATCTCTAAACATACTTTCCCAAACCTTTTCTATATTTATCTTTACAATGGAAAAGAAAGAGTTTTGTTTCGTAACTGAGCTGTTTTCAAAAATCTATGGAGCTTTTCAAAAGCCCCGTTTCCATAAAGATCGAAAAAAGATGGAAAAGGATGATCTTTCATGAGAAATACAAAGATTAAAATTTGTTTGTTTTCGATATTTAATATACATTTTATGTTTCGATCACAAAAATGAAAATATCTCACTTGGAAAAAAAAAAACAAAAGAGAAGTAAAGTACTATTCAGAACTTAAAATATTTATTTATGATCAAATATTTACCTTCTCGGTTTTTTCAAGATAAGATTTGTAGACTACTAGACTTTTGTTTGAACGGTCAAATGTTCATGCTCACACAACAATCCAAACAAAAATTAATACCTTATTGGACTAATTAATAATACTAGTAAGCAGATACTTCAATGAAGAGATAAGACCAAAGAGGTGAAGTTTTTCATACATATTGCCTGCTCCAGAGTTTAACCATTATTCTAACATTCAGAAGTAAACCGACCAATGTTCTATAAGGTTACAATGACGGTAATTTACTAATCCTATACACAACAAAACCATATTTTATTCCCGTGGGCTTTTCTGTTTGGGCTGGGCCGGAGTAGACTCATGCTTAAAAGAGCGAACAAGAGACAACTTCGCAATATCCGAAACGGCACCGTTTCGAACATCGGCGGAGTCACTGGTCAGAAACTCATACGCCGCCTCAAAAGCCTCTCGCCAGAACCGTGGAACCTTAATACCGCCGGAACGTCCGTACACATCCCACATACGCCTCACCACTTTCTCTCTCTCCTCAATTTCCTGTCAATTTTCATAAACATTCACAATTTCGGATAAACAATTTCAATTAAATTTCTGATAAATTGGTTAGCGCACTAACCAGAATATCGAGATCGTCGGCGACAGGAAAACCGTACCCGCCGTCGACAGAATGGAACAGACCGGTTCCTTTGAGAGAGACGGAACCGGTTAACATCGAACCAAATGCCAAGAGGAGAACCGCGATTAGTACCCAAAGCTTGTAACCAGCGCGTTTGCGGTTACGGCTGAGCCAACCGCTATTTACAGGTTTTCTCACCGGTAAGAGCGTTTGAGACTCATCAAACTTCATTTTTTTTTGTTTTGTTAACTGAGACTATTAATAAAAATCTCTGTTTATGCCTCTTGATAAAGGAAACAATGATCAATGTGAAAGAGAGAACTTTTGGAGGAATTGGATAAATTGACCAATAAAAAAAAAAAAAAGGTCGGTACTGAATTTTAGCTAAAATACGAAGTGGGATTGGTTAAAAGCAACGATGAAGTTGACTTGGTGTTGACTTTTAGTAACGCGTTCTCTTGTTTTGGCTGCCATAATTTAACTGTGTAGCTAATCTAGCCGGTGGATAAACAAGTATCCGTGTCCAAACAGTCCTTACGAAAAATCAAAAAGACCGAACTAGCCTGAACAGGTTTTATGCAACTTGGAACTTATCTGTGTATTAGTATTGATTTAATTATTTAGATTACTAAAACCAATTCATTACAGTTCTGCAATTTTTCCCTGTCAGGATTTAAGAATTTCCATCTCTATAGTTATTGGGTATTTTGATTTTACACGACAATGGTCGATTACTTCAACATGTTAGAAGCTCGAATGCTTTTTGCAATTCGGTGACTAATTAAAATCTCCTCAATTGTCAAAATATACGTACAGTATGAATCAGAAACTCAGAGATGCTAAAGTAGCATAAGGCAGACAATCAACATGGCATCAATTTCAGACCGCCCGTCTGCTATTATCTCATCATCGTATCTTCTTATTCTTCTTTAATTCAAAGAAAAAAAAAACATAGTAGTAATTTCAAAAGCCAACTCGGATTCAATTTCTGGAATCTAGATTTTATAAAACTTTTTTTATTTGATATATACAAATTTCAACGAAACCCAACAGAGTTACAAAAAGAAACTGCGAACGGATTTTGACTGTGAAAAAAAGTGATAGATTATGGCATCAGATAATAAAGAGAGATTAGTTGTCAACACTGATTCATCTGTGTGTAGTGTAAGATTCTAATCATCATTTGCCAATAAATAAATAAAAACCCCTAATTTCTTAACTCACGAATGCAAAAACCCTAAATCCATGAAACACAAAAGAAGAAAAACAAAAATCAAACAATTTCGAAGGAATCGAAGGAAGAAGTATTGTTAAAATAGTTTATATAGTGAAAGAGGTGACAACCTAGCTAGGGTTAAGTTCTATAACGGGCTTATTTATATTATAATGGCCCAATGGGCTATTTAAGTGGAGCCTATTTACTTGTGTACATTATTTCGAATAATGTGGTACAAGAGGACTATAGTGTAACTCGTTTGATGTTTTTTTTTTTGTAAAATGCAAAGAACTTTGATACACAAGTTACTTCTTTTTTAAAAAAAAAAAAATACATCTTCGTTTATATTTACAGAGAAAATTTTGAAGTAAATTTACAATTTTAAACATTCGCAGTCAAAAAAACAAACTTTAAGTTTTTTTATTTGAATAAACGCGAAAACTAAAAAAATTTAGATATGATGAAAAAGAGATGTATCTGAATAGCCAAGGAAACTGCCTACAAACTACAATCGCAATGTGAAATCAAACACCGTTTTGAGAGATGTGTTGATATACATTGTGTATGTATGTATGTAGATGCAGGCAAGTCATCCTTGGCTACCAAATAAATCTCTAATCTTCATGTCTTTAATTCTTTTCTTTCGCTTTATTTTCTCTCAAGATATGTTCTGTTTTGGATAGTTTTATCTTCATATTGTTTTTGTGATCTATATATATATGGCTCAAATAGATGTGTGGGTAGATATAGGAGTTCGAAGAGCTCAACATGTTTGACCAAGCATGGCCTAAATGTGCGAATATTGTTATTTTTTATATGCATGTGGGTGGAAAACAACAAAAAAACAAAACCATAAAGAATCATCCATATATAAAGTGTAAGTCGGGAAGTCCACACGAATATTCGATTAATATCATGAAGAGTATATATCATCGACCATTTTGGTTTTTTTTTTATGAAAATACTTTAGATTAACATTTTTTTGGCAATTGGATCAAATAGATAGCCAATTCCCACCCATAAAACTCTTACTCCATTACGTCTACATTGATTTTGCTTTGGTCTAACGTATATGGAAAAACAATCTATCGATATTTGAACTTGATCAGTGTTGTAAAACAACTAGACTATATATACGTACAAAGTCTGAAAATCACAAATACAACATTCTTTTAGGCAACTAAAGAAAGTTGGAATTTGGTCCATAATATTAAACAACTGAGTACAACATGTCAATTAATCTTTTTTTACCGTCGGAATTTTACGTGACACTGGTAATGCATGTATACACTTTCATAGCTGTCTCATATGCCAAGTTGATAGATAATAATAGAAGATTCATATACAAGACTGACTGATG